ACATTCGTCCATCTATTGACCCGAACACTCTGTTGCTGTTATCTTTTTACCTAGCTCTTCATACTTTGTTTATGTCACTCACTTATTCTTTCACAAACGGACAGGTAAAACAAGCATGCTCAAATAAAGAATTCAGTTTACTGCCATTCCAAAATTTTACCCGACTGAGTAGAGAGAAATCGAACTTACGAAAATGGAAATATCGACTGGTCCAGTGAAAGATTTCAGATCCGAATACACGGCAAAGGTTCGGAAATTCACTGTGGAAAAAAATCCATATTTTATATCCATTTAATTACTGTGAGCTTTTCTGTTGTCAATATGTAAAATTAGGCTACGTTAAAGTTTCCGTGCATGTGTGGTTTAATAGAAATATGCTTGAATCTGCATGAAGAGCCCAAATGTGTTGTCTGTGACCCGAAGATAGCATACCTCAAACATCAGGAAAAGACAGTCGCCAATTGTTGTGGCCATTTCTGTGAGAGGAAACTAGAGGTGGGTGCAGGCTAAGACAGACCAGCATGTATCTGGCATTAACCGTGTGGGATCTCTTCGTTGCCTACACAGGAAGTCACGCAACAATATCAATTCATTCATTCGTGCCTCCATTCATTTATAGCCTTGATCAGCCAGGGAGCCGGTACCCATTTTTAACAAATCCATCCTGATACAAATCCACCCTAATACGTACGGAACCTGGGGGACTCTGTTACCTTGAACACCGCCCCCCCCCCCCCCCGGCACCCCAATAATTTGTAGGGAACAGAGCGAACTTCCACTCCTCTAACTCACCCCCTCCCTCAACCCCTCTCCATTGCCCCTCCCCCATCCCCATTTCCCCTCAACACGTATAGACATTCTTTTTTTTTAAATCTTTGTTTATACATTTTATTTTATTTAATATTATTTAAAATGTGTGTGTGTGTGTGTGTGTGTGTGTGTGTGTGTGTACATATCACGCACACAGTAACTATCTTTATTATTTTTACGCATTTAAAATAAGGCTTAACTGTCTTTAGCCCCCGGCCCTAGAAAATTATAAGGGGTAAAGCACCCCCGCCTCCAATTTGTTTCCCTTGGTGACAGCACGCCTACCTTGATACAGATTTAAACAAATAACTAACTGGCGTCAGACAATGTTCTTACAATTATGCACCCTGTTAGCGCAGTATTCTTCTGTCAAATCTTTGCCTTAAAATTATCTGTTTCCCGGTGAAGGTTTCAGGGACCCAATGTGGGGAGTTTTGGGGGAGAACGAGAGAGAATAGACACAATACCTCTGACAAGCATGTCGTAAAAGTCGACTATTTGGGGGTGTTTCTTTCGAAGTCGGAGTACATTTGCCAGAGAGGCGAGAAACTAACAGTCTGCATAACATAAGCCAGATCTGTAAAACGGATGCGCGCGCAACACTCAAAACCTTGAAGAGGTTCGAACTTCAGACATGGGATGAGACAGTATGAGACGACATACCGGTGTCGCCAGGTTTATAGATGGCCTTGTCTGACTGGATAAACAAGGACAGCTCCTTGCTGTTGAATGCCAAGGACGTTGTCTTGTTGAACTGTAACCCTCCGCTGCCCTTGACCTCAAGGGAGTAGGCGGTGTTGGGAATGCCAGCAGGGATCTGAAATATAATTTGATGATAGTGACAAATTTATTTTTTTCGTTTTCTCGCTCCTCTATATAAACAATACCTGCTTTAATTCTGTTCAGTATACAGTTCAGAGTGGACCAGATGAGCATTATATTCTTTATACAATTATCTTGTTTGGTGTGACCTCGTTGTATCCGTTTAAAAAATATTTGAATACCACATGTAGTCATCTCAGAGATAGTAATCATGGAATTGAGATGTCTGAGAAGGGCTGGAGGACTGACCAAAAGAGATACAATAAGGAATGAGGTCATAAGAGAACATGTCGGCACGGAACCAGCTCTCAGTTATATACAAATACAGCGGATCAAATGGTTTGCCCACTAAGAGATCAGCCTTCTGATGCTATGCCACAGAAAGCATAACACCACAAGAGAAGGAGGACGAAGATCACGAGGTGGGCCATGAACTAGATGGAAAGAAAACATCAGAGAAACTCTACCAAAGCACGATGTGTCAACGGTTGGCTCTACCAAAAGAGCGAGAATCAGAATCTTATTTCTCAAGAATCAAAACCTTATTTCTCAAGAATTAAAACCTTATTTCTCAAGAATTAAAACCTTATTTCTCAAGAATTAAAACCTTATTTCTCAAGAATTAAAACCTTATTTCTCAAGAATTAAAACCTTATTTCTCAAGAATCAAAACCTTATTTCTCAAGAATCAAAACCTTATTTCTCAAGAATTAAAACCTTATTTCTCAAGAATCAAAACCTTATTTCTCAAGAATTAAAACCTTATTTCTCAAGAATCAGAACTGTATGTGCGCTTTAACATCCGAAGCGATAAAAGAGGAAGTGAAAAAAAAAGAGAGAGGAGTCAGTTAATTTGTGTGTGTGCTGTGTTTTGTTTCTTGTCGTTGTTCTGCTGATGATATCTAGTCGCCGCAACGTCCTCTCTTTATTTACTGTACATGATTTTGTAGAGTTGACACATATTGTCTGTTCTTCTTACCCTTGTCTATCTTTTCCCTTTCCTGTCTTTTGCATTTTATTTTAAATTAAGTTGATCACATCACTCACTAAGTGACGATTTTTTTTTTTGGGGGGGGGGGGGGGGAATACTTTGGCCGCTATGGCCAATGCGTTAATGGCTTAAAGGAGGTCTTTACTTCTGTATTGTGACAACAATGACAAGAACCTTACTATTCTATGTATTCATTGCCAGTTTGTGGCTTTTCTTTGCAATATTATGTTCAGAAGTGTGTCATTGCTTCTGAACGGTACGTGCTGATAGTATTGTCGACATCAATTTAAAGCTGTATTTTTCTACTTTTTCTTCTTCTTCTTCTTCTTCTTCTTCTTCTTCTTCTTCTTCTTCTTCTTCTTCTTCTTCTTCTTCTTCTTCTTCTTCTTCTTCTTCTTCTTCTTCTTCTTCTTCTTCTTCTTCTTCTTCCTCCTCCTCTCTTTTCTTCTTCTCCTCCTCCTCCTTATTCTTCTTCTGCTGTTTGCCACCTTCATTTATACACTGCTATGGAGAGATTGTTAAATTGCGTTCACACCCCATGTTGGCACTTTTTCGTGTTTCTAACCGATAGTGTTATGCTGTGCTTTTATTGGGGGTGGGGGGGGGGGGGGGGAATTGTCCACAATTAAAGGAAGCGATGTCGTGACATTCTGTGCCACCCTATGTATTTAACATGTTTCCTCTCAGACGCTCAGTTCTAAACCTATCTGCTATCATCCTGTACCCATAGGCTCTTGCTGATTGTCCCCCTCCATGCAGTACGGTCCATGGCATCAATCGTGATCATAGGAATCCACCTCTTGCACACATCTTCACATTGTAGTTGAGACCGATCTGGACATCTTCAACCCATTTATAATCACCACGGATCATATCCTTAAGTATCCTCAACTTCCTCCATCCTCATCCTATATCTTAGCCATCTGAGCCTTTATAGACTAAACATCGAGAAAACTGTTATGATACCTGCTCTGTCCAGTAATTCAATATAATCATAGCTCATAAGTTTTACACAAGATGCTGCTCATATAAGCGAGATGAATTATTTTAAACAAAATGGCTCCGTTTTGAGAAACAGTTCTTACCTTCAGAGAGAGTGTTCCAGGCTTGCCTGTATTGAAGAGACACAGACATCAGATTAAGATCGTTAGCATTAACATTGAATACTAAAGCAATTGCTACTGCTGTTGTTACTACCACCACCACCACTTCCACCACCACCACAACAACCACCACTACCACCACCACCACTACCACCACTCCTAATACCTCTGCTGCTGCTACTAGTAGTAGTAGTTGTGATGGTGATACTATTTCTGCTGCTGCTGCTGCTACAATGACTATCACAAAAAATTCTACTACTACTTCTATTACTGCTGCTGCCACAGAGGCTGCTAATATTAAAAATAATAATAATAACAACAACAACGTACAACTATAATTACTACAAGAAATGTTTCTAATACTAATGTTGTTGCTGTTACACTAATTATTACTACTGCTGCTGACGCTACTATCACTACAGTTACAGATTACTGCGTCTAATACTATCACTACCACTACTATTATTTCTACTACAATTGCTGCTGCCTCTACAACAAGTACTACTACCTCCCTGACAAATGTTACTACTACCACACCTACTATTTCTACTACTGCTACTAATACTACTACCACCACTACTATTACTACAACAACAACTACTACTGCTGCTGCTGCTGCTGCTGCTGCTGCTGCTGCTACTACTACTACTACTACTACTACTACTACAACAACAAATACTCCGTCAATTAATACTCACCGGCCTGGAATACCTGAGATCCGGTGACTACCAGGGTAGAACCACGTAACACGGTGGCTGTAACAGTGACGTCAGCGGTGGCATTGAGGATATTCACGCTCAAAGAGAAGTCCATGTTGGCTCGGATTTTGGAAGGGACGATCACCACATAGGAACTGAAAGTTTGAGATCCCGTGAGACGTCATAATGGTGCGTCATAGCTAGTAATCTTCCTTTTTTTTTTAAATGACCGTTTCCACGCAATCAGGGCTTCAGATATATGGTGCTAGGCCTTTTTTGAGAAGGAAGAGGAGGAAGAAGAAGGAGGAAGAAAAGGAAAGAACGCACGAACTGTATATCTAAAGGGTCACAAATTGGGCAGGCTGGCCTGTCTTACAATCGAACCTTTCAAATACTCATCCTTCATGGCAATTGTAGTTTATGTATCAAATATATTATATTAATATCTAAACAACTTATAGTTGGAATTTAAAGTAAAAACACAAAAGCAGTGGCTAAAAAAAAAAAAAAAAAAAAAGCAGAAGAAGGAGAGGAGTAGGAGGAGAAGAAGGACTCGAGAATAAGTGAAGAGGAGAGGAAGAAGAAAAAAGATCAGCAACAATAACAACAACGGGATGGAGAAGCAGACAGACAGATTGGAAGAAATGAGAAGGGAAATGAAGAGGTGAATCCACTAGGTTGTGTTTGAAACTGACCAAGTGACAAGAAGTCTACTTCTTCTTTTTCGCGTTCACCAACTGTACACTCTGGCGCAAAGTTCTGGTTGTTCGTCCACTTCTGGACTGCAGTCCTGCTCCAGAACCTGGGTGTTGCGTGTGCATCAGTTTTACAGATCTGATTCAACTGAATGCAGACTGCTGGTTCCTTGCCTCTCAGACAGATGCACTCCGACTTCAAAGGAAGCTCCCCGGTTAGTCGACTCTAACGAAATGCTTTTGGGGAGGCAGCGGGTCTATTCTTGTTTCCCCCACAATAGGACCCCGGAACCCACACGGGGGTGAAAAGAAGTGATTGCAGTCAAGATTTTTTTTTTTTAAAGTCAAATTCATCACAAGCTTTGACTAAAAGACTCAGTGCACTTGTCCGTTTCCTCTGATAAGCTTTCTATCTGTGACAGACGGTTCCCGACCGGGTTTATGCACAATATTGTAACATCCATTATGCTCTTAAGGTTTTAATACAAAGTGTCCCTAACCCTCGCCTCCCTCCTCCCCCCCCCCTCCCCCGTCTTTTCGCCTTCTTCCACGTGTTTTCCCTAACTGTAAATTTGTATTTTTTCCCTAACCGTTAATTTTGTGTTTCTTTTTCTGTGTATTTACCGACTGAAAACCCCGGAAAAAAATATTGTTGTTTTGTTTGTCCACTTCTGGAGTTTAGTTTTGTTTCAGAACTTCAGCTTTGCGTCTACATCCGTATCATAGATCTGGCTTATCGGGCAGACTGTTGGTTGCTCACTTCACAGTCAGATACACTCTCACTTCAAAGGATACACCATTAACCCTTTCGCTGCTATGGACGAGATAACTCGTCTGCCCGGCAGACTGCTAAAGACGAGATAACTCGGCTGCAATTTTCTGTGCCCTCACTGCTAAGGACGAGATATCTCGTTCTGGGCATTTTTTTACAGATTGCTAAGGACAGTAATTCTTAGGGGTGAAATAGCAATACACATTAACTTAATCTGATCAAACTGACCCGTTTACATACAATTAAAACCCTTATCGAGTGAGTTTAGGCGTATTTAGATGCATTTCACGTTATCCTGTTTCTTTGTTACCATAGAAGCATTGTCGGTGATCGGTAATTTTTTACGACATGCTTGTGAGGGGGCAATAGCTCTATTCCCCGCTCCCACCCCCTGGTTATAATGGGACCCCTGGAACGTGCCCATGAAACTTCTATATTTGAGACCAGAGAAACAAACTTACTTGTTTGCGTGTGCAGCGGCCAGGGCCGCCGCTAGAATGAACAACACAAGCATTGTCAACTACCTGCAGGGGAGATAACCAATGGTTTGTGAGAGTACTTGGTGTGTGTGTCAGTAAGTACATTGTGTGGGTGCTTATGTGTGTGTATGCGTTTTTTGTGTGCTATCTATCTATCTATCTATCTATCTATCTATCTATCTATCTATCTATCTATCTATCTATCTATCTATCTATCTATCTATCTATCTATCTATCTATCTATCTATCTATCTATCTATCTATCTATCTATATCTATCTATCTATCTATCTATCTATCTATCTATCTATCTATCTATCTATCTATCTATCTATCTATCTATCTATCTATCTATCTATCTATCTATCTATCTATCTATCTATCTATCTATCTATCTATCTATCTATCTATCTATCTATCTATCTATCTATCTATCTATCTATCTATCTATCTATCTATCTATCTATCTATCTATCTATCTATCTATCTATCTATCTATCTATCTATCTATCTATCTATCTATCTATCTGTTTGTCTAAATGTATGTCTGTCTGTCTGTCTATCGGTATGTCTGTCTGTTGGTATGTCTGTCTGTCTGAATATATATCTGTCTGTCTGAATGTATGTCTGACTAAATGTCTGTAAAGATTAGGTAAAAACAACAATTTTTTTTTTTAATTTGTCTGTCTTACATCTACTAGTGGAGCATACGGCCTCTACCAACTCACGCCAAGTGGTTCTATCCTTTTTCTATAGCATGCAGCTCTCCCCACATCCTCTCAATCATTTCAACTTCACGCTCTAGCTCCCTTCTGCATGTTTTTTTTTTTTTTTGGGGGGGGGGGTCTTTATTCCTATGCCTCTTTAGTTCCAGTGCAAATAGATTCTAGTTATATCGTTTTCAGGTTTTCTTAACGTGTGTTATATCCAACGCCAGCGTTTTTTCTTCACCTCTTGGTCCATTGGAACTTGTTAAGCTCTCTCTCAAAGCTCTGCATGAGTGATTCTATCATACCATTTAATTCCCTCTCTTCTGCACAGGCACTAGTTAATGAATGTCTTTACAAAGACAGCTACTACGGCAAAAATAACTACAACGATAATGCCAGTATGAATACTGCTAACAAATCTAGTGCCTTATGCATTTAATGCGTGTGCATGCTATTAGCTTTGCCGAGACTGTTGTCTTCATCAGTTTATTTGCTGGCGCAGGAACGGACCAATCATGGAATGACTTGTTTGCCGTGACGGTGAAACTGCGACTAATTGTCAGCCTTTGTAGCTTAGAGGTTGCCAACGTGCTTCATAATTCCGAGATACTTTCAGCTGCGAGCGATTTGTCAGCAGACAGTTTTGCGTTGACTTCCACAAATTTATCACGAGATGACCGTTAGAAAAAAGCATTGGCCAGCTACTCAACGAAAGATTGCTCACAAAAGCCAAGCAGCCAACAAGTTATGGGGTTGATTATGCAACTTTCTGTGAAGGAAACTTAAAACCTTTTTGTAACTAACTATCTAGCTGGCAAGCTAATTACCTAGCTAACTGATTAATTAACTAACGAGCTGGCTAGCTAAATAACCAGCTGTTTGTTTGTTTGTTTTAGTATCCAGAAGCCATGTTATTAACCTTTAGGCTCGGTATTATGGATATCGCAACCTTTCGGCTTTGATTCCATTTTAAATAACGTAAATCTGGGAGAAAATGTGACTTTTCTGCCTACCCCCGGGCGTGAACCCGGACCACAAGGAGCTCGTCACCCGCTCACCGCGCAATCCGGTTTAGCCAACTACGCTAGAGAGACGGGCAAATAACTAGCTAATCGTCATCATCACTATCATGTTTACCATTATATGTCACAAAGCGATTGCAATCTATTTCTACATTCTATTGTATCCTGTGCAATCAGTTTGATATCATGGATGCAATCCAGTAAAGCAGCTTTGGCCTCTCTCATCAATGTTCGCTCTAATGTTTCTTTTAAAAGTCCTCGCTTCCTCTATCACTTTATTCCAATTTTAGTGCATGTTTGGTGATTCTTTCAATGCTCGTCTCTTCTTCGGATGTGTCCAATACATCGCAGTCTTCTGTGATCAATACATCGCAGTCTTCTATGTCCAATACATCGCAGTCTTCTGTGTCCAATACATCGCAGTCTTCTATGTCCAATACATCGCAGTCTTCTGTGTCCAATACATCGCAGTCTTCTATGTCCAATACATCGCAGTCTTCTGTGTCCAATACATCGCAGTCTTCTATGTCCAATACATTTCAGTCTTCTGTGTATTATAACTGTTGCCACTAGTGGCTGCCAAGACATTTTTCATATTTCTCCCCCCCCCCCCCACTTTCTATTTTATGTTCAGCATTTCCTCAGATATTTGTTTTCAAATACATTTAAATTGCATTGCATGTCTTTAGTAGTTCCCTATATTTTTGGCATATGTTAAAAGTAAAATAACGTTACAACTGGAAATAAGCAACTTTGCTCTCAAACTGTAAAGCTAACAATGACTGTCATCAAAAGCAACACCAACATAAACTCAGACTGCCCGTATACTTACCTACTTCGGCGTAGGGCAATGTGCAATCTAGAAAGTTCTACCAACGAACTGTCCGCTTTTAAATGGACAAGGGCAGAACTCTAGCCCACTAAACACACGATGGTGGCACTTCCGGTTGCCCCCAGAGTGAAATCATGTTTTCTTGTCTGGTTATCTGATTATTTGAATAAATAGACAGTTGACTGTTTTTTCGCTGACTTAGTTCATGGATAAGGTTAACGAAATACTGCGTGTTAAAATCTTTAAGATAAGAAAACATTTAGACAGGTTTGGAGATAGGTGAGAGCAGCGATAGGCAACCGTGCGGATGAATGAAGCAGACAGAACCTACATGGTCTGAACATCAAGGAGAATTGGCTCATAAACAGTATCCTGTCCCGAAAGCTGGGCGTATTTTGGTTATGTAAAACGTCATGGTGGCGCGAAGAGAATGGTGATGAAGGGTGCAGTTTCTGGAAAACGAGGCAGACATCCACGATGGTAGTACATAGGGCTGCACAACTTACTGGAGAAAGGGAGACTTCAAGCATGTCGTAAAGAGAGCGACGTTCTGTACAGGACACGCCGATTGATCCTGATGATGTAGAGGTGGAATTATAGTCAGTCTCCAGCACGAAGGTTGAATCTCCAAAATGCTGTCTTTCGCCTTGGATGTACACTCTCGCCATGCTGTTCGCCCATATCTTGATGTTATCCTTCCATTTACATCTAAGCCTCTTACTGGTTTGCTTTCGAATTTTCCCACCAGTCTGTTTTTATAAGAGTTTTATGCATTTTAATGTTGTAGAAGTTCTGCTTAGTCCTCCTGATTGGACCGAAATTTATGGCTGCACAGATAGATGAGGTCTGAATGGGTGGATGAATCAATGCATAGATGGACGGACAAACAGGTGGAAAGATAGGGGGGGGGGGGGAGAGATAGACCCATCCCACACAAGATGGCTCCGGTATGAAGACGCAAAAACGGTCATGCCAAGTCATTTCCGGTGTGCGTGTTAAACAGTTGGTGCTGTCGTTTGGCTGGACACGATTCTCGCTTATCGCAAGCTGGCATATGATAGATCAACTACCTAACTACCAGTAGCAGTCCTGGTACGATAGTAGGAGAAGTAGCTGACCCGCTTGTCTACAGATTCTCCGTCCTCTTGTCTCCTGTTCCTTTCCCCTTCGTGTTTACCATCAACATCGCCTCCTCCTCTCGTCCTCTTTTCTATTTTTAAACTGATATTCGCTGAAATGCCCAAATGTCTCCTTTCCAGCAAAAACAGAAAATGATTACTAGCATCTTTATTTCTACTTGTGCTATCAGCGTCAAAAGGACAATGAATATGGCAATAGAAGAGAAGATAACTACATGTAAAATGCAGTCAGTGAAAGGTCAGTAACAATACAAGAAGGGACAGTGTAACGAATACCCGCATTGGGGGAGAAAGTTGGAATAAGGCCGTGTCTAGATTTTACTGAGAGACAAAGAATAAAATGGTTTGGCCATATAGTGAGAATGCAGCCACACCAAATTGCATATCATACTTTTTACAGTAGAACATTGGGAGGAAGGCGAGAGGAGGAACGAGAGAGAGAGAGAGAGAGAGAGAGAGAGAGAGAGAGAGAGAGAGAGAGAGAGAGAGAGAGAGAGATAATTGGGGTGGTTGAAACCTGCAAAATGATGAAGAAAGCCACCTGAGAAAAAGAAGAAGACAAATGCAGAGAAACCATTACACAAAGCTACAATCTGGCATGAGTGAGTCTACCCAAAAAAAAAAAAAAATTAAGAAGAATTTTTATGAACATTTTGCGTATTGATATATGAACATAACAAACTTTCTGGGTAAAATTTAGTTACTGTATGAAAGATTCGTGTAAAATGGTCGAATATAAGACGAGCGTGTTTTTCAATCTGTGATCTTTTGAAAATATAGTGTCTGTTTTTTGTCCTGATCCTTGTCTGTGTTTGTTTTTAGAAAGAAGGTTGCCAAGTTGTGTTATGGTTTACAGCTAGGCTGATTTTTCTGCGCCGTTCCTTTGATTTCAGCCATGTCGGAATTTGTCGCTGTTCACTCGTGCATTTTAACAAGACAACACATCTATTCTCTCACCCCCCCCCCCCTCCCACTCCTCTCATCCTTAATTCCAATATTGGAATCGCCTGGCTGATTTTTGTTGTTATTGCTGTAAGTGGGAACGGGCTCCGACCACCTTCTCCCCCTCCCCTACACAAGAAAGTCGTGGGCAGGAAAACCCTGAGGTTGTCTGTGCTCCAGATGCGCATGCGTTGTTTCCAAGGTCAACAAAGTTTAAAACTGCGTATGTTTATGAATGAAAGTTGAATTATTTTAACTGACTCAGTTTTTTGCTAGATTGCGATCTCTGGTGTAGTCACGATTTTGTGGCACGGCAGAACAATTCTGGTGTGCACGTACTTGGTGAACACGTGACGAAACCTAAATGCAAAGGAAACTAGTAACTACATGC